ATGGGAAACATTTTGTGAGGGAACACGGAGAGATGGTGGTGCGGTCGTCGGGTGGAGTGCGGGCAGCTGGAGGTTGTAGCTCCGCTTTCCAGTATAGGAAACATTTTCATTAGACGGTATCAGTGTATCAGGTTGTTTTCATGTGGTCGGTACTGTATCTTACCTATACAGCTGGACAGGTACGGTGGCCATTTTTGTCTTGGAGAATGTTCAGTTTTTTTTTCTGTTCTTTGGAGAGTGGGGCCGGATACTGGTGGTTTGACGACCCTGACCGTGCTCGTCTCCGTCTGAACTGTGGGACTTGTTTCTGTGCCAAATGTGCGCTCGAGGATTGTCGTGACGTCCTGGCTGCACCCTCACGGCCCGTGTGGTATCAGCAAAAGAGGCCGAAACCGAAGACTAATATCAATACCAAGCAATTTCTCTCATTTTTTGTTACCCAATTTTGCTTACGGCCCAATACAGCCTGTGAATCGGTCAAGAACTACTGCTAATCTATGAAATAAATCCTACCAACAACCATTTTGTCAAAACGGACATATTGGCGATGCAGAACGTAGACACTCCCTTCCGTTCTCTCCTTCTAAGTCCTTGCAATTCCGTGTTCTTCGCGCATGCATGCACGCTATAAATTTTGGCAGCACGATTAGAAAGCTCTCTTTAAAAGTTGTTGGAAGCTTGGGGTAGCGCGATCAGTGAGGGTCGGCTCACGAGCGAAGTAAGAGGTGAGTTGATGTGGAAGTTGGGCGACCCGACGGGCTGGTGCCAAATGTGCGGGGTTGACACGTAGGCTACGACGGACTGTAGCGCGCGGGCGAACCTGACGGGCACAGGAGGACTAAGCGGGATGACAACTTCGTGGGTTGGTGCGTGACGATGGACTGTCCGCATCGGAAAGAGAGAGAGAGAGAGAGAGCTGAGGTAAGCGGATATGGGATTGTAATTTTCTTTGTCTTTCGCAATCTTGTATATAAGTTTTGATCTCGGCTTCGGGCGATCCGCCCTTATTTTCTGACTCGACATCTTTCCTCGGTTTTTGCCTTGCTTGGCACTTTTCTCGATTTCGACTTCGATCCTTCCTCTTTCTGTGTACAAGGGGTTGTTGAATGATATGCTTGTCGTTTTCGCTTGTCATCTTTGCTTGTCACTGTTGTCTGTTGTTGTCACGGTAAACGACCAACAGAAAGAGTTGATGCTGTTGCGATGTTTGATGTGTGCGTGAACAATGATGCGATGCCATTTTGCATGATCGGGGAATGGTTGTTGTCTGCGGGATTACTGAATGATTGGATTGCTGGGTGATTGTCTCTGCCACATGGCGATTTTTGCATATGAGACTTGAACCTTACTTTTGCATGAAAGTCGGGCAACGGACACGTGCACGATCGAACCCCTCGTGTGCGCTCGTGTAAGCGCGATCCAATAAACGCAGCCTACACGTGTCCACACGCGGTCGGTCCGAGATCACTGGATGGACTTGGCACTTTCAGTATCGGGATGGGTACGAAACTCCCCCTTTGCGAGAACTTAAGCCAATGGGGATTTCCGCGACCGTACCCGGAATTCCCTCGTTAGTCGGAGAACGATCAGGTGTGTGCAGAGGACTTCCACTACGCCACTACTAACGACCCACGGGGTCCTGACTACCCGGAGGCCCGTCACACGCACTATTTCATATCCCCCGGCTTCGTCATCATCTCCACTAATTTCCCTCCCTTCCGACTCCTTGTCCCGTATCGTCGACTCACAGTGGTACCGTGGGATTCCATAGCCTTGGATTGGCCCCGCACGCCGTGCAGAAATTGCAGACGACGTGGCAACCCCCGAACCTCCGGAATTACCGAGCGTAACCATAATGCGCGGCGCCAGCTACCACGCGTCCAAACGAGGAGGCCCAACTCGAAGAGGCCGTAATTCCTACGACGGACCCTTTTGCGTACTAAAGCCACGAACCGTCGTAATAAAGAAAGGTGGATCGGACGGCCCAAGATGCATCGCGCATGCCATCTGCCTTATGCTGCATGACATCTGCAGCCATCGGCCCGAGAATAACCCATCCCTTAGACTTGCAGACGAACCGGCTGCTTATTGCACCTATGCCCCTGAATCTTGCCACAGGAGATCTCAGTTCTGACCTGGGACTCCACCCCCATTTCCCAAAAATCCTTGGCACACCCCTTTTCGCACTTCCAGGCCCACATCCCACTCCGAAAAGGAAGTCGCACCGGGCGTGAGGTTGGGCGTCACAATGGTACTTTCCCGCCATCCCCCAGCCATGTGACCTAATCTTCAACAGCTTTGATGAAATTGATGGCTTGGACACTTCCAACCACGGCCCTAGCCACTTCTTCGAGCTGACAATTACATGCTGCCTCTCTCTTTTTTTTGGGGGGGGGTAACCAGGGCGCAGTTACAAAAGCAGTTTCTAAATGCATTTCAAACTGGCGTTTCGAAGCCCAGTTTGGTCCGAAGTTTACATTGCAGTCGAAACTCCGCTTTGCAAAAATGTGGCACCGCGGAGTTTGTAACTGCAGTTCAGTCAGGCACGTTTTCGTTGTTTTTTTTTTTCGGTTTTTAAACTTTTTTATTTTTGATTTTTTGTTAATCTCGCACGGCTGTGTATATTTTATAATTTCGGGCGAGGCGGCAACATCTCGGCCGTGGCTTAGCCACGCGAAATGG